TGAGAGTCAGTGTGTGTCGGACTGTACCCCAGTGAGAGTCAGTGTGTGTGGGACTGTACCCCAGTGAGAGTCAGTGTGGTATGATTTGAATGTTGGGGTGGGTGGGGGTTCCTTGAGTGTAGTGCAAGTTGTGGAGGGGTGTGTTTGGAGGTTCCTGTGTGTCAGGAGAGGGGAGTGTTTGCAGTGGTGAGGGTGTGTTTGGGATTGGCATGGTCGGGGTGATGATTTTGAATGTAGTGGAGATGGGTGTTTGCATGTACAGGGAGACAAGTGTTTGTGTGTGTGTGGTGAGGGATCTGTCTGGGGGTGGTGAGTGGTTTCTCTGGGGGTGGGGAGGTGTTTCTCTGCGGTTGGGGTGGAGTCTCTCCGGAGGTGGTGAGCGGTCTCTCTGTGGTGGGGTCGGGTCTCTCTGGGGGGTGTCATACCTGAACCTGTATTTTCTGGCACAGTCGTTTCCATCATTCACTGACCAATAACAATCGCTGGATCCGAGAGCGAAGCCATGAATCTTACGCCAAGAATTATTCGGTGGTGTTTCCCTACGATGAGCCCCTCGCGGGTCGGAACATGAGGCTCGATCCCCTGCATCAGGTCAGTGTTAATGACCTGGGGCTTGGCAAGACAAATGGACTGTGGCAGATTACAGGAACTAATCCTCTCATCGATTCTTTACTGTTACATTCTATCCAGGAAACTGGCTAGATACCGATATAAAGCAGCACAGTCCCTTTGACTGTCAGTTGCTCCATCTCTTAGCATCTTCTGCAGGCTGCCATCTCTCACTTCCTTCTTTTCTTCACCACGCCCCGCCCATTCCCCCTTTTCTCTCTCTCTCTCTCACTCTCTCTCTCCATCCTGCCAGACAGTTTAGGCTTTCCTTTGCCAATCACAGAATAACTCTTGAGACAGATTTGTGCGAGTGTTTAAGAAATGATTCATGGCCTTATCACATGAACTTCAGCCATTTAACACAGAGAAAAATTGAGCCTGTCTCTGCAACATTCTTCAGTTCCTGTGCCTTTTGCTGGGATCCCAGTTCTGTGCTGGGATCCCAGTGCTGTGCTGGGATCCAGGGGCCATGCTGGGATCCAGGGGCCGTGCTGGGATCCCGGGGCCGTGCTGGGATCCTGGGGCCATGCTGGGATCCCAGGGCCATGCTGGGATCCCAGTGCTGTGCTGGGATCCCGGGGCCGTCCTGGGAACCAGGGGTGGTGATTCAGTTGTCATTTCTGCTTCACTGATATCAGGAGACAATTTTAAAGTGGAAAGTAGTTGTCTTAAGCATAACTGTAACAGATCAGTAAAGGGTTAAACACCCAGAAGCAAAAATAAATTGAGAAATATTCTACAAGCAGCTTCAATATTCCCACCTCCAGGAACTTGGCCCCACATTAAATGTTGTTTCATTTTGTGCTTGAAGTGAATGTGTCAGAGAACATGGGCTGTGTTAAACTGAGAGCTTTCCTATCTTGTCTATTCTGTAGTATTACATTTCCAAGATAAAAGCTCTTCAATAGATCGGTGAATCCGATTTTGTCTGGGCATTTTGTGACTGGGTTGAGACAATGTTTTCTAAACACAGGCTGCAGCAGTTGAAGAAGATAAATGCTGGGCCCAACCATTAACATCCCATGTCCCACATGCCCAGAGTGAAAAAGCACGATGCTGTTAGTCAGTGTGTGGGGAGTCTCAGCTTCACTGATTAAGTATTGGCGTTGTTCTGATGGATTTGCAGTTTTCCACAGTCTATCACCATGAATACAGAATTGATTTGCTGCAGGATGGTTGACAAAGAGGTTTCTAAACATGGACCGCCAACTTGTAGGTTGGGATCTGGATGGGGAGATAGGCAGGGATATGTAGAGAATGGAGTACATGTGCACACTATGAAGGGTGCAAATCTTTAGGAAGGCTGTGTATTCTCTGCACCATTGTGCTGGTGATAGTGATTGAGGTTTGACATTTGTCTATCCTCAGGAGCTCCTTCAGCAGGGTTGTGTATTCCAAGAGCGACATGGATGGGAACGACCTGGTTGGTTCAATCCCAAAGGACCTGCTCCAGTAAGTGGTTTCTCATCATTAAGCTCACAGTTAATTTGAAAGTAAACATATCCCTTTTGTACATTGGACAGCATCAGCTGGGAAGGTGCTACAACCAACTTGTAAATTCTGAGGACTTTCTGAAGGATGGTCTGATCAGAAGTGGGGATGTTTGCTGATGTTTGCATTGCACCAATGTTCAGCATCATTCATGACTCCTGAGACACTGAAGCAGACAGTTCCTAAATGCAACAAGATCCAGACAATATTTGGACTTTCAGCTGAAAAGTGGCAAGGACTCACCTCCTGACTCCTCAAAGCCTGTCCACCATCTACAAGGCACAAGTCAGGAGTGTGATGGAATACTCCCCACTTGCCTGGATGAGTGCAGCCCCAACAACACTCAAGAAGCTTGACACCATCCAGGACAAAGCAGCCCACTTGATTGGCACTACATCCACAAGCATTCACTCCCTCCACCACTGACACTCAGTAGCAGCAGTGTGTACTATCTACAAGATACACTGCAGAAATTCACTGAGGCTCCTTAGAAAGCACCTTCCAAACCAACAACCACAGGACAAGAACAGCAGATGCAAGGAACACCACCCCCTGCAAATTCCCCTTCGAGCCACTCACCATCCTGACTTGGAAATATATCGCCGTTCCTTCACTGTCACTGGGTCAAAATCCTGGAGGGCATTGTGTGTCAACCCACAGCATGTGAACTGCAGTGGTTCAAGAAGGCAGCTCACCACCACCTTCTCAGGGCAACTAGAGATAGGCACTAAATGTTGGCCAGCCAGTGATGCCCACATCCCATAGATGTAAAACAATGAGTAAGTGTGATTGTTGCACATTTCATCTCACATTCCTAAATATTTTATTTAAGCATAAAAGTGATGAAGTTACAGTGCCTTTCTGAAGGACCTCTCAAATACCAGAGTTAGGAGCTATCTGCCCATTGCACTTCATGCTTTAGGAAAGGTGCTGAGAAAACAGAGAATGATAACAGAGTTACTCTGCAGGCTCTTCACATTATTCCCCTCAATGAGTTTCTCACTCACTTATCTGTCAGTCGTTTACTGTCTCTTGAGTGTTTTACAGATAGTGGATGCATTGGAGACTATCTTTCAAAATACTCTCTGGAATGGTTCCTGCAAACTGGAAAGTAGCCAATTTAATCCCATTATTTAAGAAGGGAGAGCGATAGAGAGCTAAAAATCTGTTTGTTTGGCATTAGTAGTAGAGAAAATGTGAGAATCTATTGCAAGGAATGTGATAATTTGAGTACCACTGATAACAGCGATCATCATTAATTGGTGCATTCTCCATCACAATGCTTCTACCAATCAGAGAGCAGCACAGGAACAGGCCTTTCAGCCCATCATGTCTGTATTGACCATGATGTCATTCTAAACTCTTTCCATCTGCCTGCACATGGTTCGTTTCCCTCAATTCTCTATCTGTTCATAGCCTGTCAAAATGCCTCTTAAACATTGCTATCATATCTGCTTCTACCATCTCCCCTGGTAGCACATTCCTGATGCCTACCACCTTCTGGTTAAAAAAAACTTACCTTGCACATCTCCTTTAAACTTTCCCTCTCTCACCTTAAACCTATGCCTCTTAGTCTTTGACATTTCCACCCTGGGAAAAACAAAACAGACTATCCACCTATCCATGCCTCTCATTATTTCATAATTACATTATTTCACCTTTCTATCAGCGGTCGCCCCTTAGCCCCCAATACAAGCAATTTGTCCAACCTCTCCTCATAGCTGACACACTCTGATCTAAGTAACATCCTGTTTGCACCCTGTTCAAAGCCTGCACATCCTTCCTATTTTGTGGTGACCAGAACTGCACACAGTACTCCAAATGTGGCCTTAGCTAAAAATTTATACAGCTGCAACATGACTTGCCAACTTTTATGCTCAATACCCTGATCAATGAAGGCAAGCATACTGTACCCTGTCTTTACCACCTTATCCAATTGTGTTGCCACTGCCAGAGAATGGTGTATTGCACCACAAGATCCCTCCATATATCACTGCTTCTCAGGGTCCTGCTATTTATTGTATACTTTCTAACCACGAACCAACCAGTCCACAAAATGTTGAATTGATATTCTTGTGAATGGTCCTGGTGAGTCCAAGACAAAAAGCTTCAACAATATGTGTCTGTTTCTGTGATATTTAAGTTGTGTATAATCCCATGATGAGTTATGACAATTGGACACTTAGAAAATAACAGGAAAATTGGGTTGAGGCAACATGAAGTGATGAAAAGAAAATCATGCTTCACAAAGTTTTTGGAGTTGTTTAGGGATGTTACTTATAACAAAGAAACTGTATCTGGATGTTCAGATGATTTTTGATATGTTCCCACACAAGAGTTTAGTTAACAAAATTAGAGCATGCGTTGGGTCCGGGGATGGAGGGGAGGTTCGGTACACTGTACATATTTGAGAATTGGTTAACAGACAGAAAACAAAGAATGGGAAATGAACAAATCATTCTCAGGATATCAAGCTGTGACTAATGGGGGACTGTGTGCCTGAAGTTAGGAACTAATATATGAGCATTTCAGTAGCCATGATAATTTTAAGTTGAAAGCAGTATTGGAGGCCTGGCTGTAGAGTTAATAGGTTTTGTGTGTTGCTAATGGATTTTTATTTGTTTAGATTATTGTGTAACCCAGCAATGTGGCACCTAAAGCGTGAGAAAGCGTTTTTTTTTAAGCTGGCGGAAACACTCATTTCTGAGGGAGGGAGACTTGCATTTGGCAAAAAAATCTCAAGATTCAGCTCATGATCTTCAGTCCTTGTGTCCAAGTGAAAAACTTCACCGAATCCCACATTACACTCCACCCTCCAGATTTTTGCCTGCGGTCTTCACCACTCGATATCAGTCTGCATTTTTGTTATCTCGCCTTCACAACATACTTCCCTACTATCTTTGTGTCAGCTGCAAGTTTTGCCTGTATGCCTTTCATCCTCTTATTTAAGTCATTGATATAAATTCTAAAAGTGTAAGACCCCAACACAGATGCCTTTGAACTCCATTTGTCCCATGCTGCATTGATGCATACTCTCTGTTTTCTGCCACCCAGCCAATCTTCTTCCGTGCCATTGTGTCACTCCTACACCATCAGCTGCTGCTTTCTGCAATAACCTTTTGTGTGGAACCATGTCAAAAGTCTTCTGTAAATTCAAATACAGTGCCCTCCATCCACAGTGCAAGTCACTTCTTCAAGGAATTCCAGTAAATCAGTCCAACGTGACTTTCCTTTGACAAAACCATCTTGACTTTTTATGATTATATTGAGATTTTCTAAGTGTTTTGCTATAAAGTCTGAATGATCGATTCTATACATTCCCCATAACAGATGTCAAGCTAACTGAACTAAAGTTTTCTTCCTCTCTCCCTTCTTGTATAAGGGGTTATATTTGCTACTTTCTAGTCTGATGGAACTTTCTAGAACCTAATGGATTTCACAAAATTAACAGCAAAGCATCTGCTAGCTCACTGGCAACTTCTTTTAAAACCCTAGGATGGAGTCCATCAGAATCTGGGACAATTGTGAAGTCAGCTTCTTGCAAAGTGATTAACACCCAGTCACATTCATTTAGCTAACAAGGCATCTGACACTGCAGGCAGTTACTGTTCACTTCGTTCCTTAACTCATTTACAGATTTAACGTTCTCAGTCAGAGACCAATGCTCATCCAAGTTATATAACATGAGAGCCCTACCAAAATCTCGTCTGTGCACCTGCACCCTCTTAGCTCCCTTTCTCTGGCTCATTGTTAATCTTTCTGTTCTGTTGTGACTTCCTTTGCGTTAGATTCTGAATTATGATTATTACGGATTTTATGGAAACAAGCGACATGAGGATTACAGATATAATCAGCTGTTGCGTGACGATTACACCTTTGACTTCCCCCCACACCATAATCAGGTAGGAATGAGTTCTGATGTGACCCTCACCCGTTCAGAGAGATTAGTTATTTTTAATCGCTCTATCATTGATACTTGGGTATAAGCACATTGACCAGCGTTTTTCATACCTGAAATAAATCAGATTCCCCTGTGCACTGTCGCTCACTTAGAACCTACTTGCCAGCTAGAGTATGGTACAGTGTGTCTGTGTGTTTGTGCAAGCTGTCACAATCCACCATAATTGTTCCTCAGTGTGCCACAAACCATCATAAAATGTATAAATGTTTAAAATCCCAATGAGATTCCAAAATGACTAAGTTGGCTCAGTGCCTGTCTGTGTGTGTGTGTCTCTCTCTGCCCATGTGCATCAACTAATGAGTCTGTCTGTATGTGTGACTGTGGCGGTTTGTGTGTGCTTATGTGTGTGTGACTGTGTGTGGCAGAGTGTGTGTGACTGTGGGGTGTATGTGTGTATGTCTGTGGCTGTGTGTGTGACTGTGGGTATGTGTGTGTGTTTGTCTGTGGCAGTATGCATGTGTGACTGTAGCAGTGCATGTCTGTGTGACTCTGGTGCTCTGCGTGCATGTGTGTGTTTCTGTCACTGTGTGTGTCTGTGTGTATGTCTGTGGCAGTGTGTGTGTGACTGTATGTGTCTGTATGTATGTGATTGTGGGTGTGTGTGTGAGACTGTGTGTGTGTGAGTGTGTGTGTGTGTGTCTGTGTGTATGTGTATGGCAGTGTGTGTACGTGTGTGTGTGTGTGAGACTGTGTGTGTCTGTGTGTATGTGATTGTGGGTGTGTGGGTGTGACTGTGGTGCTCTGCGCACGTGTGTGTGTGTGTGTGTGTGTGTGTATGTGTGTGAGTGTGTGAGAGAGAGAGAGAGAGACTGTGGCAGTGTGTGTGTGTTCAGTTCTGGTCACCCCATTATAGGAAGGATGTGGAAGCTTTAGAGAGGGTGCAGAGGAGATTTACCAGGATGCTGCCTGGACTGGAGGGCAGGTCTTATGAGGAAAGATTGAGGGAGCTAGGGCTTTTTTCTTTGGAGCGAAGAAGGATGAGAGGTGACTTGATAGAGGTGTACAAGATGATGAGGCATAGATAGAGTGGATAGGCAGAGACTTTTCCACAGGGCAGAAATGACTATCACGAAGCAGCATAATTTTAAGGTAATTGGAGCAAGATATAGGGGAGATGTCAGAGGTAGGTTCTTTACACAGAGAGAGAGTGGTGGGTGCATGGAATGCACCGCCAGCGGTGGTAGGAGAGTCAAATTCATTAGGGACATTTAAGCGACTCTTGGATAGGCACATGGATGATAGTAAAATGAAGGGTATGCTGGGTACAAAAACAAAGTTGCTGGAAAAGCTCAGCAGGTCTAGCAGCATCTGTGAAGGAGAAAACAGAGTTAACGTTTCGGGTCCGGTGACCCTTCCTCAGAACTGATGCTGGCTGGGAAAACGTCAGTTTATATGCAGAAAATAGGGAGTTGGGTTGGGTAGGGAGTAAACGATAGGATAGAGCCCAAAGAGACAGAAAGACAGTTGGACAGACAAAGGAGTTGCTAACGATCAGCCTGGGAGGGTGAATAGTGACTAACAACAGAGGGTGTGTAATGGCAGGCTATGTGGTAACAAGGCTTGGTGTGTGGGGTAGGGGGCTGGGACATGGGAGAGTTTAGGCCCTAAAATTATTGAACTCAATATTGAGTCCGAAGGGCTGTAGGGTCCCCAAGTGGAAAATGAGGTGTTGTTCATCCAGCTTGCATTGCAATTCACTGGAACACTGCAGCAAGCCAGAAACAGGGATGTTGGCCAGGGAGCAGGGTGGTGCATTGAAGTGGCAGGCAATGGGTAGTTCAGGGTCTTTTTTGCGAGCAAAACATAGATGTTCTGCGAAGCGGTCGCCAAGTCTACGCTTCGTCTCCCCAACGTAGAGGAGGCCACATTGTGAGCAGCGAATGCAGTAGACGAGATTCTTGGAAGTGCAGGTGAAGTGTTGCTTCACCTGGAAGGTATGTTTGGGCCCTTGGATACTGGGGAGGGAGGAGGTAAATGCGCAGGTGTTGCACCTTCGCCGGTTACAGGGGAAGGTGCTGTGGGGCTGTGGTGGGATGTTGGGGGTGAAGGAAATGTGGACCAAGGTGTCCCAGAGGGAACAGTTCCTGCAGAAGGCAGACATGGGAGGGGAGGGGAATATGTGTCTGGTGGTGGCATCTCACTGGAGGTGGCGGAAATAGCATCTGATGATCTTCTGGATGTGGATGCTGGTGGGTTGGTAGGTGAGGATAAGGGGAACACTATCGCTGTTGCGGGAGGGAAGAGAAGGAGTGAGGGTGGAAATGCAGGAGATGGGTGAGACCTGGTTGAGGGCCCTGTCGACCATGGAGCTGGGGAGTCCTTGGTTGAGGAAGAAGGTGGACGTTTCGGAGGCTCCCTTGTTGAAGTTGGCCTCATCTGAACATATATGGTGGAGACAGAGGAACTGAGAGAAACAGATGGAGCCTTTACAGGAATTGGGGTGTGCAGGGTAGTTTTGAACTTAGAGTTGGGTAATAGGTCGGCACAACATCATGGGCTGAAGGGCCTGTACTGTGCTGTACTGTTCGATGTGTGTGACTGTGGCGCAGTGTGTGTGTGACTGTGGCGCAGTGTGTGTGTGGGACTGTGGCGCAGTGTGTATGTGGGACTGTGGCGCAGTGTGTGTGTGTGAGAGACTGTGGCTGTGAGTGTGTGACTGTGACTGTGGCGCAGTGTGTGTGTGACTGTGGCAGACTGTGTGTGTGACTGTGGCGCAGTGTTTGTGTGACTGTGGCAGTGTGTGTGTGTGACTGTGGCGCAGTGTGTGTGTGACTGTGACTGTGGCGCAGTGTGTGTGTGTGACTGTGGCAGTCTGTGTGTGTGACTGTGGCGCAGTGTGTGTGTGTGACTGTGGCAGTGTGTGTGTGTGTGACTGTG